TCGAAGATGAACTCCATGGTATATACCCTGTACGGATTCGCGATATTTTTCATGATATTCTGGTCGGTAATGTGGATCGTTCACGCACTGGCGCTGATCGCCGGTCACTGGAAGCTGCATCGTAAAGTCAGCCAAGTGCCAACGTACGAGACGCCGTTGCCCGGCGTGTCGATCATAAAGCCGTTGATGGGCGTCGATCCGAATCTGTTCAGCAACCTGGAGACGTTCTTCATGATGCAGTACCCGCGTTACGAGTTGCTATTCTGCGTGGAGGATGACTCGGACCCGGTGCTGATGCTGGTACGAAAGCTGATGGAGAAGTACCCGGAGGTGGACGCGAGGTTGTTCGTCGGCGGGTGCAACGTGGGCGTGAATCCGAAGATCAACAACATGCAGCCGGCGTACGAGGCGGCGAAGCACGAGTTCGTGTTGATCAGTGACAGTGGGATCAAGATGAAGGAGGACACGCTGCTAGACATGGTGAACTACATGACCGACAACGTCGCGCTGGTGCATCAGATGCCGTTCACATGCGACCGCGAGGGTTTCGCCGCCGCTTACGAGAAGATATTCTTCGGGACTGTGCAGTCGCGTATGTACCTGGCCGCTGATCTCCTCAGGATCAACTGTCACACGGGGATGTCGGCGTTGCTGAGGAAAGCACCCCTGGACGAGGTCGGCGGCTTGAAGACGTTCGGCGTCTACCTGGCCGAGGACTTTTTCTACGCCAAGTCGCTGACCGACCGCGGCTGGCGGATCACCGTCTCTTCGCAGCCGGCGTTGCAGAACAGCGGCCACTGCGAGCTACACTCGTTCCAGGCGAGGCTGCGGAGGTGGGCGAAGCTCCGGGTGGCCATGCTGCCCACCACCATCGTTCTCGAGCCGCTCAGCGAGTGTTTAGTGTTAGGTGCCTGTGCTTCCTGGGCGGCCAGCGTACTCTTCGAGTGGGACTCCCTTGTTTTTTACTTGGTACACATACTCTTGTGGTTCATGTTCGACTGGACGCTGTTGAGCGTCGTGCAGAACGGTCCGTTGCCGTTCAACAAGTTAGAATTCGTGTGCGGATGGTTACTCAGCGAGATCACCAGGCCCTATCTTTTCCTTCAGGCGGTTCTAGATCCTCTGATACAGTGGCGGTCGCGCGTCTACAAGCTCAGGTGGGGCGGAGTCGCGGAAGAGGTTAAAGCAAAAGTCAAATATTGAATTGTACTATATGAAACCAGTGATTTTGGTTTGTTTTCTTTCTTTCTTTCTTTCCTTCTTCTTTTTCTTCATTTCTTTCACACGTACACAAAGTGCCCCGACTTTTTCCGGCCAAATTCTCACGGGATGTGTCGTGGATATAAATACATGTGCATGTACGAAGGTGGCACGAACGAATTTACGATCACCATGCTGTAAGAAAAAGATAAATTGGCCATCGATGTAAGAAAGTTCACTTTGACTTTTGATGGTTTGTTTATGGTACGTATCCTTTCTCACAGCTGTACTAAAAGCGTAAAAAGCTCAGGCCTAAGCATCATTCTCTTTGTGTCTTTCCTTCTTTTATTGCCACTTTTCGTGTGAACCTAGTGAACTATAAACACGTATGGTATATACTTTTGTGATTTTCGTCTATGTGATAAAACATCCTGAAAATGTTTGGCTGGAAAGAGTTGCAGCGCTACGTTGGAGATCATCCGCATCGAGCTGCAAGCGTAGGCGTTTTGTAATATCGAACATCTCGTGCTGTCACGCATATGGTACTTATTATACTTGTATTACGTTAGAACGAGGAAAAAAAATATATACGCCGTATACGCACGACGTTTGCTAAATAGGGGTGCACGTGCACACGTACGTACGCGACATGATACATAAAACAGCAACAATCATCACGGCATGCACGTATGCACGTGCGTGATCGTAACTTTCCAATTATTCGACGACATATCATCTCCGCCAGCTTGTAATTCTGTGCTCATTCTCTCGTGCAATATTCTTCGTAAAAGAGAAAAAAAAAAAACACGCCGTAAACAATGAAACATCTCTACGTGTGATAGGTTATGTTCGCGGAAGAGATGTTACTACGTAGTAATCAATATACTTGTTTATACGTGTGTAGCCTTCTTCTTTTTTTTTTTTTTTTTTTTTTTTTTTTTTTTTTTTTTTTTTTTT